CAGGGGGACACAATCTCCTCAATGCTATTTACCGCGTGCTTACAGGAGGTTTTCAGAAGCCTAGAATGGGAACAGTTAGGGATAAGAGCTAATGGATAATACCTTAGTAACCTGCGCTTCGCCGATGACATTGCATCGCTGAGTAACTCAGGGGACGAATTGCAACTCATGATTACGGAGTTAGAGAAGGAGAGCAGAAAGGTTGGTCTTAAAATTAATCTGCAGAAAACGAAAGTAATGTACAACAACCTCGGAAAGGAGCAGTGCTTCAAGATAGGTAATAGTGCACTTGAAGTTGTAAAAGACCATGTCTACTTAGGGCAGGTAATAACCGCAGAGCCTAACCACGAGATTGAAGTAATTAGAAGAATAAGAATTGGGTGGAGCACATTCGGCAAGCACTCTCAAATTATGACAGGTAGATTGCCACTATCCCTCAAGAGGAAGATATATAACAGCTGTATCTTGCCGGTACTTTGCTACGGACCAGAAACCTGGAGACTTACAAAGAGGGTTCAGCTTAAATTGAGGACGACGCAGCGAGCAATGGAAAGAAAAATGGTAGGTGTAACCTTAAGGGACAAGAAGAGAGCAGAGTGCATTAGCGGACAAACGGGGGTTAAGGATATCATAGTTGAAATAAAGAAGAGGAAATGGACATGGGCCAGGCATGTAGCGCGTAGACAGGATAACCGGTGGTCATTAAGGGTAACTAACTGAATTCCCAGAGAAGGGAAGCGGATTAGGGGAGACAGAAGGTTAGGTAGGCAGATGAGATTAAGAAGTTTGCGGGTATAAATTGGCAGCAGCAAGCACAGGACCGGGTTAACTGGCGGAACATGGGAGATGCCTTTGTCCTGCAGTGGACGTAATCAGGCTGATGATGATGATGATACCTTCTTTATCCATTCATCTCACGTAATACCAAATATGGTATAGGTGAAGCTAGCGAAACGACCACGAGCGCACAATGAGTGTATGGCGTGTAGTGATGACTTACAAGGCATGCGTGCCATGTTTTCCACGATAGTGCTTGCCACTTATGTTCGCCATGCAGTCATGTCATACCAAAGAACTTTTGCAATATGTGATGTTAACGAAACCACCACAAGAGCAGCAACACTGGGCATGTAAATCATGACATACATGATACATGTCATGATTTTCATGTTATGACTATTCACTCATGCTCGTCATACAGTCATGTTATGGCATGGAATTTTGGTAAAGATCCGATCATCGACACTGCCATTGCATTTTGAGCATGGCATGTAGCCATGTCCCTACATGACACTCATATCAATATTATCATGTCTGTGCCACTCATATACCTTCGTCACCATCCACACCACGTAACACCACATTTGGTGTAGGTGATGCTAGTGAAATGGCCACGATCGCACTATCAGCGTAGCATGCAGTTATGTTTTACATGACACGCATGTAATGATTTTTACGTTTGCATAGCTTCGTCATCCATTCATGTCACCTAATACTAAATTTGGTATATGTGAAGCTAGCGAAACGACCGCGAGAGCACCAAGATTATGGCATGTAGCCATGTCCTTACATGGCCCGCAGGTCATGATTACCCTGTTTGCACCAGCCATATACCTTCGTCCTCTATTCACGTCAGGTAATACCCAATTTCGTATATGTGAAGCTAGCGAAACAACTACGAGCTCATCATGAGCGTGGCATGTAGTCATGTTGTCACATGACCCACATGCTATGATTATCATGTTTGCACCAGTCATATAACTTCATCTTTCATTCTTGTCACGCTTACTGAATTTGGTACATGTCATGCCACCGAAACGACCGCGAGCACATCATGAGCGTGGCATGTACTCAGGTTCTTACATGACACGCATGTCATGAATTTGACGTGAATGCCTATCACTTATGTTCACCATGTAACCATGTCTTACCTTACCAGTTTCGCGATATATCATGTGAACAAAACCACCTCTTGTGCAGCAAGACCATGACATGTAAATCATGACATTCTTGACTTGTGTATTATGATTTTTATGTTATGACTAGTAACTTATGCTCAATATACAGTCATGTTATGCCATGCCAGTTTTGGTATAGGTATAATTATCCTAACGGCCAGGAGAGCTAAAAGTCGCAGGCGGCTAAATAGATAGATAGATAGATAGATAGATAGATAGATAGATAGATAGATAGATAGATAGATAGATAGATAGATAGATAGATAGATAGATAGATAGATAGATAGATAGATAGATAGATAGATAGATAGATAAATAGATAGATAGATAGATAGATAGATAGATAGATAGATAGATAGATAGATAGATAGATAGATAGATAGATAGATAGATAGATAGATAGATAGATAGATAGATAGATAGATGTGGTCAAACTTGTAAAATTTTGCTAAGAAACGCTTTGTATTTAAAAGATTTGTAAAGGAAATCGCCTATCGTGCATTCGTGTCTATTTATTCACGAATCAAATCCTATATAAGGCAAATAAGGCAGTTTCATGTATCCAGGTCTCTGCCCACCTTACCCCTATTTACTCATCTTCAGCATTAATATTAGTCCTATGCGTCTCACGTTCACACTCACGTCTACAAACAAGCATTTCGATGCAGAAGCGTTTGTACAGCAGCTTCATAATTATTGATCAGAAGCGTGTGCCACTGTGGGGAGGAGAAGACGACTCAACTCCTGCGGCAAACTTTTCAGGAGAAGTTTTTAATGCAAACCATTTCTTAGCGAACTTCGATGACTTTGACCGTATCTATCTATCTATCTATCTATCTATCTATCTATCTATCTATCTATCTATCTATCTATCTATCTATCTATCTATCTATCTATCTATCTATCTATCTATCTATCTATCTATCTATCTATCTATCTATATATCTATCTATCTATCTATCTATCTATCTATCTATCTATCTACGACTTTTAGCTCTCCAGGCCGTTTCGTTAATGAAGTCTGTACCAAAATTGTCATTGCTTAACATGACTGTATGTCGAGCATAAATGAATAGTCACAACGTGTAAATCGTGATATGCATGCCATGATTGTCCTGATAAACATGTCGTGGCCTTGCTGGTCTAGCGGTGTTTTCGTTCACATGACATATTACAAAACTGGTGTGGTGTGGCATGATTGCATGGTGAACATAGGTGACAGGTCCTAACGTAGAAGTTACGACAGACAAAATAGCGCAAAAAAACGGGGACACAAGACGAGGACACACGGCACAGCGCCTGTGCCGTGTGTCCTCGTCTTGTGTCCCCGTTTCTTTGCGCTATTTTTTCTGTCGTCACAATGCACCAACAAGCCCAAATTTCGACAGTGTAGAAATCACGACTACATGCCATGGTCATGATGCGCTCGCGGCCGTTTCACAAGCTCCGCTTGTACGACTTCGTATTACGTCACGTGAATGAATGGCAATTGTATATGACTTGTGCAAACATTAGAGTTATGACATGCGTTTCATGTAAGAACATGACTACACGCTACACTGATTGTGTGCTTGTGGTCATTTCGCTAGCTTCCCATATACGATATTGTGTATTACGAGACGTGAATGAATGGCGAAGATATACGGCTGCTGCAAACATGATAATCATACCACCCTGATGATGTGTTCGCGGGCATTTCGCCAGCTTCACTCTTACCGAATTCGGCATTACGTGACGGAAATGGATGACGATGGTAAAGGACTCATACCAACATGATAATCATAACATGCGTGCCATGTAAAACACGACTACATGCTATGCTCATAGTGTGCTCGCGTTTGTCTCGCTAGCCTCATTTATGCCGCATTTGGTGTTACGTGAGTGACGTGAATGGATTACGAAGGTATATGACTGGTGCAAATATAATATTCATGTCATGCGTGTCATGTAAGAACATGAATACACACCACACTCATGATGCGCTTGAGGCTGTTTCGCTATCTTCACACATACCGAACTTGATATTATATGACGAGAATAGAAAATGAACACAAATTCCGGGCGCAAACATAAAAATTATGACAAGTCATGTATGGCATGAATTACACGTTTATCACTGCTTTTGCTGGTATTGGAAACCGTAGTTGTACCGTAGTTACGCGACTATAAGCAACATACTTGCATCTAATCTAGATACCTGAGTGCGTATAATAATTGTACTTCTGTTTACTGTGTGCTATGACCATCCACCTCGTAACGTTGTGCTAATTTTAAAGTGACAAATAAACCTTTCTCATTCCTTTCTCGCATACCGTCAATTTCCACTGTGCGTGGGAGCTGCCCTTTTTTCATAAACGTATCTCATGCTGGTCACGCTTAAAAAGAACTATTAGATCACAACCCCTCATGATTCGTTTTTGAAGTGACGAGATCAAAAGCTCGACTTCTAGCACAAAATATGTGAGATATTGGCGTTGAACAACATCCACGCCATGGTCAAAAAAGATAATCGCTCGTTAACAAACTCATGAGCTGATTGACTCACGCTTACCTAGACTCAGATTGAGCCAAATGTATGGGCCTGAGTGATGCTGGTGACGATACATTTAATGGGTCTGAATCAGAGAGTGCCCTACGCACAAAATAAAGCTCTTCAGCGAGTGTAAGCGAGCTCCTTTGTTTTCTTTTCGCCTAACCTGTACTAGGTACAGGCTAGGCAAAACTGTAGTGTGTGTCTACGAAAAATGAAATCTCAGCATTGAGAAAAAGTCAGCTCTCTGGCTTCGAGGGGCTCTCTAAATCATTTTTTTATATTTCCCCAAATCGTCTCATCACACAAAGTGCTTCTTCCCGTTTAAACGGCCCCCATTCGAGCTGTTCCAGAACCCCAAGGGGCCGAGGTCGCATGTGCGCAAAGATGTTGGAAATGTTTGAGTCCACAACATTGCTGTCCGCCTCTGTGCCTGACAGCGCGTATACGAACAGGCCCTTGACGATAAATTAAAAGCCGTTTTGATCGCTCGAGTGGAAAAAGTTACGAACCTTCCGGGAGTCGTTCAATGTCCCCTTCTTCTGGAGCAAATAGCACACGATGGCAACTACGAGTGAAGCAACGGCAGCCGCAACGAAAGGGCGAGTGTCCCAGGAGACTGCGCTTGCGCTCGTCATTTGGTGCAGGCTCTCAAAAATTCGTCCGAACGCCCCGGAGCTATCCATGGCACATAACTTGGACCGCATCGAAAGCCCTGACTGTCAGAAGCGGAGACAGTGGGAGCGCTCCTTTTCAGCTACGATAACGATCTTTGGGAAAGGGTGGTTCAGTGGCTCGGAAAGGCGGAACCACCGGCATGCGTCATGTCTCAGAGGTTCGCTGAACAGTTGGCAGCGTCTTCCTGCGTCGACCGTCTGCCGATAGCTGTGGCCAGTGTCGACACCGGAGCGGACGACACTGGAGTAGTGGTGTAAGCAAGAAAGTGAAACTACGGGTGGGGGGAGTTTGGTGTGCAGACTGCTTATTCTAGACGAGAAACTCCCCCACTATACTTGTCCCATGTAACTAAACCAGCCTAACTATAGAAACGGGGTTTTCGTGCTATACAAATTGTTGGTCATAATCATAAATAGAAAAAGAGAGTAGTTTATAAGAAGCTTAGTCTATAAGAAGCCAATTACACCTTGGTATGGTTTAGAAAATACTATGATTATACTTTTTTAATGCAACTTGCATCAGGACACTGTTGAAGAACACTGTGGCCTATAAAATAACTATACCTACGGTAAATATTAATAAATGTTTTTCTGGAGCCTACAGCACGTTCGATAATCTCGTCTCCTATGCAAATATTTTACTTTTTATTACAAATATTTTTCCTTGTTTATCTTGCAAATTCAAAACAGGCTGAAATTCTTCTATGCTCATTATTTCTGTTGACGAGTGCCTCTCCAGTGTTGTGCACCACAGATGTTGAGCCATACACGTCCTCGAAGTGCGAAACCACGGTAGTCTCCTCCACGTAGCGTTGAGTCTCTTGTACGACATCGACAATGTTCGGCCCATGTTGCGCAGCTCTCACTTTCTCGTGGGCTTCTAAATACCGACTGACCGCGTGCCACGCATCCTGAGGACAATGGGCCTGACGAATGCCACGGCGTCTCTCACGTTCTGTCGGTTTCTTTATTGAGCAGTGAACTCGTGCTCGCGGTAAAGAATGAGCTGGCGCGTGATTTGACCGACAATGGTCGCCTTCGCGACTCTTCTCAGCGCTCATTATGCACCGTTCCTACAGCTTTCATGCACGATAAGCCGTCTAGCAAAAGCGGTGGTTTTCCTTTTTTTTTTCAAGCAGACACCACAGCGCCTGGTGGCCCGCCGATCCCCCGACGTTGACTTAGAGCTGTTAAACAAACGCTGCAAGACTGCCTGTGCCATAACAAGGAACAGGGCAGCCAGTGTGACTTGTCGAAAAACCGAAAAGAAGCGGAACAACACAGAAAGACATAGCACTGTGATGGGGTAAGCTTCTAGCAAATGATTACTGTTATCTGACCGACTGAGGAAAACCGGTTTCTACTGCATGTTTTGCCTTCCATATCCACCTCCTTTTTTTTTCTCTTTCATGATGTGAACGAGGCCGGTTATGTTAGTGGGCCAGAAGAACTACCTGCAGAAAACGAAGAGATTGTGGCTTGAGGGTGGTATCTTTCACAGCCGTTGCGTAGGGGCCATCGACCACTGAGTACGGGCCATCGAGCAGAACCGCGTTAATTGGCCAAAGAGCTTTGTCGTTTCAACGTTGCTTCTGTTATCGGGTGCCTGAAATGTTATGCACAGTTTGATTTAGTTGTGGATGTGCACCACGTACACCTAACCAAACTATAATTTCCACGTAGTTTTTGAGAGAGAAAAATACTTTATCGAAGTCGGCAGTGATGTCAGCAAGGCTGATTTATAAAGCTGAAAGTGAGCCTACTCAATAATAATGACTCCGTGACCATCCCCAGAGTGGTAAAGCCAATTAGCTGCACTAACACGCATCGTAACAAGCACGCGCACTTCAAGTGCATGAGCAAAGCTACAATACAAGATTATATCCGCAGAACATGCATACGCACCGTAATTCGGTCCATGCACCAGTCTCCAGTGTGGTAGTATGTAAGCAAACCACCTGACTATTGTACATCCACACATACCTGTCTACGCCGAAAGCATCTGAACTTTCTCCGAGAATTCGCATTGACGTTCGTTCTTCCCTTACGTGGTTTATAAATAATTGCGGTGGTCAAATTAGGCTTGAAAGTCTTTGCTAAGATGCTCATTTGCCACTATAACACTTGCCGCACTGCTATCACATTGGCTTTCGCCATCGTCCTATTGTCTGTAATCGCTTGTAATTAGAATCACTTATGCGCCTCTGTAACTATTTACATGACAAGAACGGCGCGTGAATAATGAAGAAATTTTGTGTGATGCATCTCGTTATGGCAGCAGCATCCGCTATGTTATGGTGTTGCGTCACGTTTGATCTATATTTAATGACATTAGTAAAGAAGAGCTTCATTGATAGGAGTTTGGTGTGAAGAACAAGCAGTCTCGGGTCTTCTTCGGACAGTAGTTTAGCTGTCTCTTGGATGAATTTTTCTTGTTCCAAGTAACTGACGCTGCATATTACTTGTTTAGGCAATTGCATCAGTGGCAAAGTCTAATTTGCCTCCTGGTCAAGGGCACGGCCCTTTGTCAGCCTCATTGCCTAATGATTACTTGCCTATAAATGCTCTTTCCGCAGTAGTGTTGCTAGCATCCCTGTCTGGCTGGTGCCCTCGAGTGGTGGATTTATTAGCCTCAACAACCCAAATGCGATCCAGGTGGAGCTTCAGGCCATGACGCCGCCCTTTCAACTGATAAGTGATTTTCGTCAATCGGAAGAGGTGGTTTAGTGTGGAGATCGTCATATCCCTCATGCGTTTTAGACAACCTAAATTGCAAGACATTTGTTTCGGTCTCGGGGAGCGCGTTTATCCCGTATCATTTAGCATGCACTAAAGAAATGGCTCGAGGAGTCGACTCTAAACTAACAGCAAAACTGAGATTGGCAGAGCTGTCTGATGCGGGGGTCATAGCCGTGCACCGGTGCAGCCGCGTAGTTGACGGCGCGAGAGTCCTCATTCATTCAGTTATTGCTACTTTTGCTGGCGCTTCTTGCCCACTCAAAGTTTAACATGTGGCCACTCATTTTCAGAGTCAAACGTTTCAGTACTCGTCCTCTCTAGTGTTAAAACTGTTGGCGTTTAGGCTACAGTGTAGGGGACTGTAAGTCAAACTCATGCTTCCGGCTCTGTGGCAATGATCATAGATGAAATGAGTGCTTTGCTGAAATCAAAAAGTGTTGCCTCTGGGCTGGAAATCATGAGGATGATACTCGAAGTGCACCGCAAAAGCCAATGAAACCCAACTGCTCGATATAATGGACAGACGACGTTGATCGCAGCGAGAAGGGGTAACAGATGTGAAGGATAGGGTCTTTAAGTATGCCGGGGTCACTTCAAGGCACGACCTACTAAAAGAGATGAAGCTTTTGAATTGTATTGAGATAGCAGTATAAAAGACAATGTAAAAAGCACTAGGACATATAGTTACGAGAGTGAGTGCCTTTTTCAAGTGTTTTGCTCACAAATGACGCAGCTGGTTTCAACAGCAGAAATACCGATAGTCAAGTGGACATCTTGTGCAGTGCAAGAGATGTCTAATTAAGCCTCACAGCGGATACCCCGAACAGAAGGAACGTCAATTTTGTCTGACCTTCTACCTCAACTCAAGCACAAGCTCAGAGTGTAATGCACGTATGTCCAGATTTCAGGCGTCAGAAGTGAACGGGGTCTTCAGTAAAATCTCCTTTCACAAGTGCAAAAACCAAAAAGGGCGACTCTAGTGCCAGCTCGCTTTTCAAAAAGAGTAATGTAAAAACGTCAGTGTCTGAAGTGATTGTTACATCATCATAGATATCTTGAAAGTAGTACAGTGAATAAGTCCATCTTTGATTTCTGCTTCAACTGACTTACGTTGCTTGATTAATCAATAATTTCGCGATATTACATTATGGCATGAAATTTAGCTTAACCTTCTAAGAATTATAATCCTCGAAATGTTAGAGCATTGCGGTTAGACCGCCTATCACTAGGAGGTAGATTAATGATACTATAGTATTACACAAAATTTACGACATAGCGCGCATAGCTTTTCAGCTTATGTCCTCAGACGGCAAAATTTTGGCAATAGATCTCAGTATGTCTGGGCACCGAGCTTTTTTTTATAAACAAATATTTTACTACGGGTGTGCATAATACTCAACAATGTTGTACCGCCTTAGCCAGTTGCAAGATTGAATTTCTTCTGCCTGGTGATTTCAATTCAAATCATGTTTCGTGGAGATTCAGAACAGACTCTTCCGGGACTATTCTGTAAGATTGAATGATTCGTGAAAACCTTACCTGCATAATTGGCGGGCAGCCTACATTTATTCGTGGTCAGACACGATCAGCATTACAAATTACAATTTGTAGCTTAAGTGTTTTTTGAAATCTTGGTAAACACTTGTTTTTTGTTATTATAGTGACCATCTTCTTGTGCGCTTTGAAATTGTAATTGATATAAAATGTCTTGCAAGAAAGAGGAAAACATTGGTCAAATACAAACCATAAAATCTGCTTGCGTTAAAGATCGAGGCAGTGTCTAGTGGTCGAAATAAAAGACCTTGGCAAAAGCGCCTGTTCCGCTTTAGAAATCTCCAAGAACACTTCAGAATTTGTAATTGCTTCGGCGTCAACCAAAGGTGCCATGCCTAGCAGATGGTGAAATAATGAGTGCACACGAGACTATCGAAAAAGAAAATTTGAGATTAGGACACTTTTCACGAATGTAATTTTAGTTTTCTTTATTTCGAACGCAGAACAAAGTTTGGTACATTATAATACAGGTCGAGGTACACCACACATATTCTCAGAAGCACCGATTTCTGTAACTTCTGGCGTAGCTGTAAAACAATATTATAACAGCCAAAATCAGTCCCATTGCACGTCCCTCAGTGGGTGGAGTGGCACATCACTTGGGAGGAATGGAAGGTCCGTACACGTTTGTCCAAATGTCTTCAGTGATCAATATAGGTCGAAAGATCAACATCAATCTTGAAGCA